CAGACTAGGGAAGACATTTTTGAGCCACCTTTGGCAAAGTAGAAAGGAACGATTGGCCATCGGTGATCGGTCCTGTGGGAACAATGCTCCGTCCTCTCGAGGACGCGTGGTCAATGGTCTAACCGCTAAGACATGCAAAACATGAGAGTTCGCCCCCCCGCCCCCGGCGGGAAATTGACGTACCGCGGGGGGTTGGTTTGTTTTTTTCCGACGCTACCCTGGGGGGAACCCCCCCCCCGGGGGGTTGTTCAAAACAATAATGGTCCACACACCACACACGCAACGCAGAGAGTGGTGAAACTGAGATGGATAAAGGTTTACGAGACAGCGTTCAACAAGCAGAGGGAAAAGGAACGTAAGAGCAACAAAGACGAAGAGAAAAAGACAGCATGAGGTACCATTGCCAATGTTCATGCAGAAGAATTCGCAGTTAGTCCGCAGGAATAAGCTATTTTTTATGCTTCGGTTCTACCTTGGATTGTGAGATCCAAAAATAGATACGACCATTTTTTCCCTTTGTGCGCAAGGTTTCGTCAGCATGCTGTATGGTACGTTCCAGCTGACTCCAGGGATGATAAATGCAAGAAATAGACAAAAAAACGAATGCATTTCATCCATAAAACAACGGCGAGGGCCAAGTGACGAACGGTACACCTAAATCTCGCTCGAAGCGCAGATCTGCAAGTGAATATTCCGTCCTTTTGTGCTCCGCGATGCAACAAAATCGACGCAGAAAGTAAGGGAAATACAACCCCCTCGGGGGGCCCTCGTGGGAAAAATGGTACCCCGGGAGGAAATTGACATACCCGGGGGGATTTTTTTTTTTGTCGAAAAGGATCTACCCCGCTGGGCTTAATGAACAACTCATGTTTCCAGGCCGAAAAGGTAACGGGGGGGGGGGGGGGGNCGCCGGGTTCTCACCGGACCAGGCTCTCACATCACCAAGCGCGAAGCGCCGTGAGGTATTCGGCGAGTCGCATGAAGGGTGCGCTGCATCCTGCCAAGGGTGCTCGGCAACCTTTGCTTACTTTCCTTGCGTACGGATGACAGCTGCATATGACTTAACTTATTTTCTGGTGCTTATACTTCCAGAGACAGTTGCGAGCACTGTATAGCTGCCTCGAGGGTGCTTGACCAATTTGACACAACGTGGTGCGATCATCCCCCTTGCGCGGAGTGAGGGTTCTCGACCCCGCACAACATTATCTACACGACCATCATATGGTTATCGCCAAAAAAAAAAAAAGAGTTAAAAAAAAACGATACCCTGGTTGCCGAGTTCACCAAGTGAATTGGCTTGTTTCACAACGTCGTTGCCAAGCGACGAAAACCCAACCCCAATGGCAAACACCGGGGGGGGGGCAGTTGTGGACGAGAAATGTGCAGCAGCACTTTCGCCTTGCCAGCTTTGGCTAGACACGGACTGCAGATGCGGCTCATTTCGTTATCGTCTGGGATGCTTCCACAATTGTCGTGGAGCCGCGCACCTCATCCTCTGTGACAGCGTTGCCCATGAGGGGGTTCTGCCAGAGTGTCGGGCGACTTGCACAATTCACCTTCCGCACATGGCATGGTGCGCCTCTACGTAAAGCTGTAGGGTCTACAGATGCACGTGGTGTGTGGTTTGTGTGTGTCAAAAGACAAAACGGCGCCAATGTGGGGTGTAGAGGTGCCTTAACCGGCGTTATTGCGGACCGCCCTGAACAACGCCGGTGTGGCGCTATTATGGGCTCTGGCTGTGCCCAACGATTTCACCAGCGCTACAATGGGCCACCGGCGTTATTCAACCCGCATTATTGAGGGCCCCCCACTGTATGTGTCGTTTCTGCCTGCAAAAAACGTGCCTGCGCCCATTCCGACAGCCGTACTCTGGCCCTCATCCATACGCCATGCTGGCGAATGAATGTCCAAGCACTACTGCTGTAATACCGTTTTCTTGAAGCACGAGGGTAGTATACTGCTGCAGCATGCCTTTAGTATCGCGTGGGATTGAATCCCCCTTGGCTTGGTGTGGGTAATCATGATCGTACCGTTTGGACCCCTCTTGGTTTTTTATTATAGTTAGATTGGACATGGTCGATGGCAACGTCAATATACGGACAGCTAGCCCAAACCGTTGCAGGCGTTCGCAAAGCTTCCTCACAGACAGACAACCCAGACAGCTGCACCTCTACTGTAGAACAGCAGCACGGTAGGACTACCGCACGGACATGTCCGCGAAGAACGTCGACGCAACGATGTGTGTGCATGTGTGTCGAAGTGCACGATGCCGTTTGCGACAGTCGGCGGTAGTTGTAGACAAGAGTAATGAAACTGTACACCACAAATCGGTGGCTCTCCGTGATACCTACGCGCTGCGTGAATGGGTGTTTGACGTGCTGTTCGTGTCCGTTGCCCAATCTCGTGGCCCGTTCACCCGCACCGTTCACCGTTATTGGGAGAGGGCGGTGATTCATCTGGAGGCCACCCTCCTGCTTTGGTGCTGACGCTCCACATTGTTTTGGACGGCGGCTGGAGCAGCCGGAGAAGTAAAAAAACGAAACATGCACCTCTCCCAGAAAGCGCACGGCACGCAACCTGTTGCCTGAGAAAAACCTGTGCACCCCTTACATCCCCCGGAGCGTGTAGGCTGTTGTCGCTGTCGTGTTGTACAGAGCACGCTACGGAGTTACACACCATCTTTTTACCTACACGACCCGAGAGCAGCGAGCACCCGTTCTCTCCCGGAAACGAAACCTGACGGCATACATGTGTTTTCAGTCTGGCCACCACGCGCGTCCTACCCACCCACCCACCCCTACGTGGCGCAGGCCGAGGTCCGCGCCATCGTCTCGAGGAGGAAGGGCTTCGAGTACATGCTTCGGCGACACGAGGCTCGCCGCCTGGACTACATGCGCTACGTCGAGTACGAGCTCAACCTCGAGTCCCTGCGCGCCCTGCGCACGAGACGGGTCGAGGGCGGCGCCAGCGGTGGCCAGCAGCGCAACGAGAAGAAGAAGACCAAGAAGGGGAAGGCCGCCACGGCCGACTTCTGCTGCGTACGCCTGGTGCGGTGGATCTTCGACCGCGCCGTAATGAAGTTTCCCGGGGACGTGGACATCTGGCTTCACTACATCGACTTCACCGCCCGTCAGGGACAGAGCAAGGTGCGGGGGGGGGGGGGGG